ACCGGGACTTGATTATACCCCGAGTATCCATCAAGAAAACAATAAAAACTCTGCCCCGCTAACCTTTCAAGAATTTGATCAGTAAATGGCAATGGAAAATGGTCCTTTCTAGTCATGGGATTTAGTCTCCTATAATCAATGCACACTCGCCACCCAGTAGTGGTTCATGTGGGGACCAACTCTCCTTGCTCATTCTCAACAACAGTGATGCCCGATTTCTTGGGCACCTCTTGTGTAGGACTCATCCACTTGCTATCCGAGATCGGGTATATAATACTCGCATCTAATAATTTCACCACCTCTTTTTTCACCACCTCTTTCACGTTGAGATTAAGTCTTCGTTGCATTTCTCGAGAAGGTTTGGCGTCCTCCTCTAAATGTATATAACGCATGCACATGGAGGGATCTATCCATCGCAAATCAGCCACCGACCACCCTATAGCACTCCGATGTACCACGAGAACACTCAGCAATTGACTCTCCTGCTTAGCAGTCAAGTCAGATACAATTATGATTGGTAAAGTATCCTGAGGCCCTAAAAATGCATACTTGACTGTGGCCGGAAGTGGCTTCAACTCAAGTGTAGGTGGTGTGACTAAGGATGGTATGGTGGGCTCTCGAGATAGAGGAGGAAGGGACTCAAACCGGGCTTTCCACAGAGGAAAATCCGGCGTCGAAGAAGAATTAAGTAAGGCATTTACCTCCTCAACTGACCCGTCAACATCAAAATTTTCAAATCCAAAATGAGCTAGACAAGCCTCTAGAGGGTTTTCTACAAGAATGGAGGGTAAAGCCTCCGCCACAATCCCATCCACAACATCTACAAATAAGCACTCATCTCTCTTATGAGGTTGTTGGGATGCTTGGAAAACATTGAGTTTCACTTGCATATTCCTAAATGAAACTTCCATTACCCTGCTACGACAATTTATGCATGCATTGACTGTAGCCAAGAAAGGTCGACCTAAGATCACCGAGATTTGTTTCCTAGAGCTGGCTACCAGTTCCATATCTAAAACCAAAAAATTAACAGGAAAATAAAACCTATCGACCTTTACTAGCACATCCTCAATCATGCCATGTGGTACTTTGAGGGACTGGTCAGCCAACTGGAGAGTAACAATAGTGGGCTTCAATTCGCCAAGCCCGAATTCCTCGTACACAGAGTACGGCAACAAATTGACACTGACCCCTAAATCTAACAAGGCCCTATCAATGAAATGATCCCTATAATGCATGCAATGGTTGGGGCACCCGGATCTTTAAGCTTAAGGGATGTGTCATTCAATAAAATGGAGCTTACTTGCTCTATGAGTACGACCTTTTGGGACACATGTGTCCTAGATTTACGCTTTTGCATAAAAAGGTCCTTCAAAAATTTAGCATAGGAGAGTACTTACTTAATCGCCTCCAACAAGGGGAGGTTGATTTTCACCTATTTAAAAACCTCCATCATCGCTTCCATGGATACCGCCTTCTTATTAAAAGGGGATGGTGTATCAATGCATTGGGGAAAGGGGGCCTTAGGCACATATGGTGCCTCAGGCTCATGTGAAGTGCTAGGGACTAAGTCATCCTTCTTAGGTGTTTCTCCTTCACCTTTGCTCTCATTGGACATACCATCGTGGTCACCCTTCTTAGCCTTAGTTGCGTCAGACATAACTGGCCAAGGCTCTAACTCCCTTCCACTTCTCAAGGTAATCACCGCTTGCACCTACTCATGGTGCTTTCCATTCCCACCCAACCCCTCTGCCCCATATTGACCCTTAGGGTTGGCCACAGTCTGACTCGGTAATTTTTCCTCCTCTTTCATATTCATGTTATTAGCCATTTGACCCAATTGGGCCTCTAGCTTGGCAATAGAGTGAGTGTGGGAGTGAACTACTAGTGCTAACCCCTTAAGTTCTAAGAGAACTTCTAACACTTGAGTCTCAAAGGCCGAGTTTCCTTGAGGAACAGGTGTGGGTTGTGGTGGTCGGTAAGAAGATTGGTTGGCAAAATTATTAAAATTCTGCCTTAGTGGTGGAGGATTGTAAAAAGTGCCTTGTGAAGGAGGTCTCCATGAAAAAATAGGGTGATTTCTCTATCTTGGGTTGTACGTGTTGGAATATGGGTCATTAACCGGGTTGGAGAATCCTGGAGCCACATTCACATGCTCTTGGACTAATTCCGGAAATTGTGATGCCAAATGGCACTCACTCAAGTCATGAGCAAGGCTCGCACAAATAACACACGCCTCGTGAAATTGAAGTTGATCTTGCTGTGTAAGGGCATGTCCCGAAGCTAATAATTGGTGCATCTTGTAGGACAATGCCTCTACTTGTTGGGCTAACTCTAGGTTTGGCCCTACCTCATAAATGCCCCTGGTTTTCGGGGCTTCAACTACAGGTTGCCAAACTTGCTGAGCTACGGAGGCATAGTGAAGGGAATTATCACTTAAGTTCTCAAATAGTTGTCATGCCTCGGCGTCATTTTTGGACATAAATGTCCCACCACAAGAAGAATCCATCATTTGGCAGTGAGGCTCATTTAAGCCATAGTAAAAGGCCTGCACAAGTTGCCAATTAGGCACTTAGTGGCGGGGACACTGTTAGAGAAGGTCACGAAGTCTCTGCCATGTCTCATGAAATTGTTCGCCATCAATTTGAGCAAAATTGGTGATGGCTCACCTAAGTTGGTTGGTCTTACCAATGAGAAAGTACTTCTTCAAAAATTTCTGTTGTAATTGGTCCCAAGTTGTGATTGAATTGGTAGGTAAGGAGTTCAACCAGTGTTTGGCTTTGTTCTTTAATGAAAATGGAAACAAACGTAACATTAGGGCCTCATTTGTGAAATTCTGGATTCTCACTGTAGAGCAAATTTCCAGAAATTCATGCAAATGTTTGTAAGGGTCATCATGAGCTAGTCCATGGAATGATAGGAGCATTTGAATAGTACTGGACTTAATCTCATAATGAGCAGCAGTGGTGTCGGGTAATTGGATGCATGATGGTGATGTATATGCAGTGGGTGTGAAGTAATCCTTAAGGGTTCGGTTGGGCCCATTTAGGCCATTCGGATTCACCATCTCAATTGGTTCAAGGTATGGGTATGGATATTCAAGCCTGGGAACACGGGAAGAGACTCTAAGTTTCCTAAGAGTTCTTTCTAGTTCAAGGTCCAAATTCCATAATTCAGGGCGACAAGAACAGCGCTCGTGCATACACTACTCACACACACACTAAGTTCTGATTATGTGCACTAAATTATGAAAGCAAAATACCAAAGGGAGAAATACTCACAACGATTTAATGAAAACGCTTTACTCGTTTTGCGGGTGCTTGACGTGTAGACGTTATCCCCAATTTTCACTTGAGCTCTCTAGTTTTAGCACTTTGGTACTTTGCTTGCGAGTATTTGTTTTTGGTTTTTTTTTTTAGCACTTCGGTGTTGTGGTTTTTTTGTTGTTGTTTAAACTTGGCTTTGCTTCGCTTGCACTTCAGTGATGGCTCCAATTGCAAACACTCTGCACACTTAGCAACACAGAAATATAAAATCCTAAACTAAAAATTAAAATAGGAATGTAAATTTAAATTACTTAATTTCGCTAGAAGTCTTAGGCAACGGCGCCAAAATTTGATGTGTCGTTTCATGCACCAAATTAAACACTAAACTGTACCAAATTCTTTCAGAATAATGACAAGTACAGGTATCGATCCACAGGGACAAACGGGGAAATTAAACTAATTTAATTTTGATAAAAAGATTGATTGTTTATAACCTAATAATAATAATTAAATTAAACAAAGCGAAAGAGAACTAGCAATCATAAATAAAGATGAATTTACTGATTTGGGGAAAACCTAGGGCAATGAGTTCACTACTAGTTACGTAAATAAGGTTTCAATTTGAAATCAATTATGCTACGGTTCGAACTAAATAATACTTCGCAACTACAAGTTCGAAGCATTTATCAAGAGAATTATCACGTTCAATGTATAGGCACTAACTAACCAAGTAATACGAGTCGTTCGTTCTAAACTAGGGTAGCAAACGACTCGTCCCTCGTAGTATGGCTCGTCTCATACCTTGAATATGAAAGGAAATAAAAACAATTGTATGAAAAGCATTCATTAATCACAGAAAGCCGGATACTCGAAGAAATAGTGGAAAAAATATATTTGAAACTTCTAAAATACCATACAAGTGTTCAAACCTTTACATAATCAAAATCAAAGAGAAAACCTAATTACATAGCTAGGGTTTCATCAAAACCCTAGAAAAGAAGAGCCTAGCTACTCATGGAGGAGTGGGAAGAAGTCGAGGAGGAAGAAGTCCCCATGGGAGACATTCTCCAAGCTATTTCTTTTTTTTTTTTAGCTTTTTCTTCTTTTCTTTTTTTTTTCAAACCCTAGTCTCTCTCTCCATTTTCTCTGAAATATTTTCGAACCCCAAGTTAGCCTATTTTTTTTCCGTTTTATTCTCAGCAAAATAGACCCAAAATTCTGCGCACACATCCCTAGGTGGGCCGCTCAAGCAGTAATGGGCCGCACGTGCGGTGAGGTGACTAGCTCGGATTTTTCACTTCTTGCTCGGAGAATCAGTTTTCGTGCACTTTTTGATTGAATTTGCATGTTATTTACCAAATTTGTACAAGTGCACAGAACACATCATCTCCACCAAATAAACAATATTGAAAGACTAAAAATATAATTTTAGTAGCCTCAATGTGGTACCTTTCGGCCTACATTAGATGGGTAAAAATAAAAATTGTTGTAATAAAAAATATATAGAAGAGGTGGGGTCCAAAGGGAAAAAATAGGTGCTAATAGCAGCACTCTAAATCCAAAACATATGAGTTTTCATTTTTCCCAAAATGCCCTCATTCCCATTGGACTACTGTGCCCCTGAATAGGGTTTGTGTTGGGTTTGCAGCTTCCCATAATTGAAGTTCTTACCATTGGTTAAAAATAAATAAAATAAAAAAATAACCATGATATTTGATTAAAACATGACTATAGCCTTGGAATTCAATAATTCATCAGAAACCTTGCATACAACATAAACATAGGACCATGATGATGACTGCATTCCACTCCATATCTGCCTAGAAAGACCCAGACCCAGTGAGCTTATACTGGGAGGAAATTTTATACATAAGAGCTGGTAATTTAAAAAATTTGAAGCTATGTAATCTGGCAAAATAAATACAGGAAACAGCAACTATTCAGTCTCACAAATTTATATCAGATGGAATAACAGGGACTAGGTGGTGGGTTCAAATGCCGCCTGCCTGTGCCAAATGCCATTTAAGTTAGACTGCCACAGCCTCACGGCACCTTCGCTTCCAGTGGTTGCTAGTGTCATTCCACTCATGTCCCACTCCGTCTGCCAAACCTAATCACAAAACAAAGATATGTTACGTGACATTACATGAGAGAGAGAGAACATTGACAAGGATGCAACCAGCTACTTCAGTGGGCATCTTGACATACCATAGCAACATAATCATCAGCTCATATGAAGCTTCATATGGCATTTAAGAACGGACTCCTTGCTTGTAAAATAATTTCAAATGAGTCCTTTATCAATGTATGACTATGCATAGAAGCACAGTCAGACAAACAGACACACAAATGCATGGCATAAGTTCATTTGGCAGTGGCTCAGCATCTTTTCAATATATTTGTCACACCAATTATGTTCCATAAATATGCTATCCAAATTATGAGATTGTGCCACTAGATGATATAAAGAAAACACGCAACTTGACTTTGAAACTTGGATTTTTGGAGGGAAAAGAAAATGAATGAGGAAAGTAAATGAAATTAAAGCTAAATTTTTCACTTTTCCCTCCATTTCTTTTTCTCCCCACAAATCCAAGACCCAAACATTACCAAAATAAATTTCCAACGCACACCAAAAGCCCATTGGCAGAGTGAGGAATATTTGGTGTCCATGCAACTGCATAAACTGGGTCGCCCTTGTCCTCAGGTAAAGCTAACTCAGCAACTGGAAGCCATCTTTGATGATCCTGATCAAATTCCCAAACCTACAGAGATACGCTTCATCATTAACTAAAACATATCATTGTGGCAGACATTCATTTAAATCCCAATCATTTCAGAGATGACTTTGCAGTGGAGGAAGAAATTCAAACAAGCAGAATACACTATCCCTGACTGAACATTTGCTTATCGGCAAGGGAAATATCACCCCTAAAAACATTATAAGCAAAAAAAAAAAAAAAACTTTCAAAACCAATCAAAAGTCTTTTCGTCTCTCTCTCTCTCTCATATATATATATATATTAGCAAAAAGAATCAAAGAAGAAGGACATACCGAATTTAACATACCTTGGCAGAATTGAGTTGCATTACATTCGAATTGAAACCAAGAACAAAGCTCAATTGCTGGCTTTCACCTCTTTGTTGATTCCAAGAGACAGATGCAGACAAGCATGCAGCCTTTCCAAATTTGGAGACTGAATCAATAACATTCTGAAACTCTGCCTAGAGAAACAATTACAAAATATTAGCTTCGGACATATATTAAAATATGTATGAGTCAAAATACCAAAGAAAACCAATAAGCATTAGACATGTATATCATGTACGTGCATTCATCACATATATTACATATTGTTGCATAAACAGAGCAGCTTGGTGGCAATGCCTGGTAAACAATGTTCATCAACTTAATACTTGAATTTAGTTGCCTGAGATGGTTAACAAATTTATAAGAATATCTCACACCCTTGTCCAAGTGTTGGGTGTCCAACATGCCACACGAGTATTTGATTTATTTTTAAGAGTCCATGTAATATATATTGCGGATCTTGGGCACACCAGGGGACACTCACAAGCAAAAAACACAAGACTTTTAACGTGGTTCGGCAAACCGGCCTACGTCCACGGGAGCGATGTTGTTATATATCAACAAATGGAGGAGATTACACACTCTCAACTCACTGTCTCTCTATATAACACACTCTCTCACACTCTCTGATACACAAACAGAATATAGCTCTCACTAGCTCTCTCTGTTTTGTGCCTCTCTCTCAGCAGTGTGTTTCTCTCTTGCTTGCTATGTTTGCCGTGTATTCAACTCACCATCACCATTCCATTTTATACACCAAAACAGAAGGTGGAGGAGGCCTCATGGGTGTGTTGGCTGCCAGCCCAATATTCTCCTTTGAGCTGCTGTCCAGTTGAAAGCTTTGTCCCACCATGTGAAGACTTCACAAGGCCAACTCCATGTTTTCTCCTTTGTTGCTGGCGCATGGCAAGCCTCATGGCTGCCAACTCAAGCCTCATGACTTGCCAACTCATGCCAACCTCTTTTGCCTTCCTTTTACCATGTGGGTTGGCCACCCTTCCATGCAGCAGCAGTTGACAAAAAGCTCCAAACCAATTCCCACCCATTCATCACAAAGCATCCATTTAAGAGCAGCACCCAAGTATCATAGCATCCATTCAACACATTACATGTAGCTAAATTGTCCTTCTACAACGGTCGGACATGACCCCGTAAACTGTCTTCTACATCGGTCCGACATGACCCCGTAAACTGTCCTTCTACAACGGTCGGACATGACCCCGTAAACTGTCTTCTACATCGGTCCGACATGACCCCGTAAACTGTCCTTCTACAACGGTCGGACATGACCCCGTAAACTGTCTTCTACATCGGTCCGACATGACCCCGTAAACTGTCCTTCTACAACGGTCGGACATGACCCCGTAAACTGTCTTCTACATCGGTCCGACATGACCCCGTAAACTGTCCTTCTACAACGGTCGGACATGACCCCGTAAACTGTCTTCTACATCGGTCCGACATGACCCCGTAAACTGTCCTTCTACAACGGTCGGACATGACCCCGTAAACTGTCTTCTACATCGGTCCGACATGACCCCGTAAACTGTCCTTCTACAACGGTCGGACATGACCCCGTAAACTGTCTTCTACATCGGTCCGACATGACCCCGTAAACTGTCCTTCTACAACGGTCGGACATGACCCCGTAAACTGTCTTCTACATCGGTCCGACATGACCCCGTAAACTGTCCTTCTACAACGGTCGGACATGACCCCGTAAACTGTCTTCTACATCGGTCCGACATGACCCCGTAAACTGTCCTTCTACAACGGTCGGACATGACCCCGTAAACTGTCTTCTACATCGGTCCGACATGACCCCGTAAACTGTCCTTCTACAACGGTCGGACATGACCCCGTAAACTGTCTTCTACATCGGTCCGACATGACCCCGTAAACTGTCCTTCTACAACGGTCGGACATGACCCCGTAAACTGTCTTCTACATCGGTCCGACATGACCCCGTAAACTGTCCTTCTACAACGGTCGGACATGACCCCGTAAACTGTCTTCTACATCGGTCCGACATGACCCCGTAAACTGTCCTTCTACAACGGTCGGACATGACCCCGTAAACTGTCTTCTACATCGGTCCGACATGACCCCGTAAACTGTCCTTCTACAACGGTCGGACATGACCCCGTAAACTGTCTTCTACATCGGTCCGACATGACCCCGTAAACTGTCCTTCTACAACGGTCGGACATGACCCCGTAAACTGTCTTCTACATCGGTCCGACATGACCCCGTAAACTGTCCTTCTACAACGGTCGGACATGACCCCGTAAACTGTCTTCTACATCGGTCCGACATGACCCCGTAAACTGTCTTCTACATCGGTCCGACATGACCCCGTAAACTGTCCTGCTACAACGGTCCGACATGACCCCATAAACTGTCTTCTACAACGGTCTGACACGACCACACAGTGTCTGCTACAACGGTCCGACATGACCCCGTAAACTGTCCTGCTACAACGGTCCGACATGACCCCATAAACTGTCTGCTACATCGGTCTGACACGACCATACCGTGTCTCCTATCCTGTTTTATTTATCAGTTTATTTTTCTGTTTTGTTACTCTCTTCAAACTCAAGTTGGTTAGTTCCTATCCTCCTTGAGTTTGAGGGGGGCTGTTAATGTACACCTCCTACACCACTAAAACCTACCACTACCACTACACACCTCCACTACTCCTCACCCACTCCACCTACCACCTCCACTATACCTACTACCACCACCCACTCTACACCTACTACTCCCAAAACCTCTCTATATATAGGACTTGTAATATACAGATAAAAATATCAATATACACAACAATCTTGTAAATCAATATATCAATCAATAATATATATCCATTTATTTTAACAATTTCTATTAATAAAGCATAATTACATAATAATGTAAATAGATATTGGTACAACTACCTCGCCTACATGACCAGAGAGCAATGCAAACTTCTTCACTGAGCCTTCCATCAAGATCAGGGTTCAATCCCAGATGCCATATTGCGATTCCCTTGTGAGTTGCAACAGCAATTACCTCGTATGGCCTAAAGGAGAATTATTTATGCAGGCTTACAGTCAATTAAAATAATAGTATTCTTTAATGGTTCCTTTAAATAAGAAACAGGAGTAATAATAATATAATTAGGGTGATGGCATACTGATGCAAAGCTTTCCCCGAAAACTATATGCCAAAGGCAGGATACCTAATTTCTGTGCAAAGGGATAACACAGCCAAAGGAACTTTATTAGCAGAGCTTTTGACCATGGAAGATTCAGATTTTTAGAAGTAATACATATAAAAAGCATTTATATAAGAAGATAAATAAAATGTTACCTGCCAATATTTGGTGCCCATGCAACTGCATAAACTGGGTCGCCCTTGTCCTCAGGTAAAGCTAACTCATCAACTGGAAGCCATCTTTGATGATCCTGATCAAATTCCCAAACCTACAGAGATACGCTTCATCATTAACTAAAACATATCATTGTGGCAGACATCCATTTAAATCCCAATCATTTCAGAGATGACTTTGCAGTGGAGGAAGAAATTCAAACAAGCAGAATACACTATCCCTGACTGAACATTTGCTTATCGGCAAGGGAAATATCACCCCTAAAAACATTATAAGCAAAAAAAAAAAAAAAACTTTCAAAACCAATCAAAAGTCTTTTCGTCTCTCTCTCTCTCTCTCTCTCTCTCTCTCTCTCTCTCTCTCTCTCTTATATATATTAGCAAAAAGAATCAAAGAAGAAGGACATACCAAATTTAACATACCTTGGCAGAATTGAGTTGCATTACATTCGAATTGAAACCAAGAACAAAGCTCAATTGCTGGCTTTCACCTCTTTGTGGAGTCCAAGAGACAGATGCAGACAAGCATATGCAGCCTTTCCAAATTTGGAGACTGAATCAATAACATTCTGAAACTCTACCTAGAGAAACAATTACAAAATATTAGCTTCGGACATATATTAAAATATGTATGCGTCAAAATACCAAAGAAAACCACTAAGCATTAGACATGTATATCATGTACGTGCATTCATCACATATATTACATATTGTTGCATAAACAGAGCAGCTTGGTGGCAATGCCTGGTAAACAATGTTCATCAACTTAATACTTGAATTTAGTTGCCTGAGATGGTTAACAAATTTATAAGAATATCTCACACCCTTGTCCAAGTGTTGGGTGTCCAACATGTCACACGAGTATTTGATTTATTTTTAAGATTCAATGTAATATAGGTTGTATCATTATAGAATTACAAAGAACACCTGAAGTTGCCAATTCTTCTGTTCCAATGGATCTAGGAGTTCATACACTTTCACGTGGCCGTTTGAATATGCAGCAACCTGTACAGGAAGTCAAACAAAACACCATAACAAAATATGCCATCATCAAAATGAAAATTTACAATTTCTTATCATATGTGTTGCCATAGAACACTACAACTAAAAGGATAGTGAAATAAAAACTTTGATAAAATTAGTGCCTTTTAAAAAGCAACTTAAATATTATAGAAACATATAGAAGCTTGAAAACCCCAAAGCCATTTAGAGCCAAAAAGGGGCTTGGAAACTCTTTTTTTTTTTCTTTTTTTTATTTTATCAATAGGCTTGGAAACTCTTTTTACTACAAATTAATACAAAAATTACCATATTTTCATTGACAGGGGCTAGCAAACTTGATTCCCCATATGCAGTTCTAAGAAATTAAATGAAGAAAAACTGTGCCAATCTCTCGCCACAGTAGTTCCATGAAGAGCAGATCGTGCCTTTGTCAAAGGTCACCACAGACTTCTCCATCTCTCTCTCTCTCTCTAAATTTCGATTTCTTCTTCAGTGATCGGAGAAGAAAGCTATTTCAATGTTTGGACATTGATGGAAATCCCCAAAACCCTTTCTCTAGGGTTTTTGTCCAAACGTTCATTGTCGCTGCATGTGCGAATTTAGCTAAAACCCGCCACGCATCTTCGCAATTTTTATTTTTATTTATTTTTAATTATATATATATAAATATATAAAGGGGGCATACTTTGATATTGTAACATTTTCATACACTCTTCTATCCCATTTTGTTGTTATTTTTTTTTCATTCTAGGATGTTCCAAAATATTTGTTCAATTTGAAAAGATAAAGTAAAAAATATTTAGTTTTCTAAAATTATTAATTTTAACTGGCTAGAAATATTATTAAAAATTGAAACACAAGGACGTATTATTAGAATAAGTACAATAAAATTTAAATTCAAATGCAATGATTATATGTCTCTTAAAAAAGTTAGAATATTTTAAAAAGAACTATTAAAATGGGACGGATGGAGTATTATTTAGGTACAATTACCAAAAAAAAAAAAACTAAGGTTTGAGTCTTTTAACAAAATACATCGCGAGTTTTTAATTTTGTTAATTTAAATTCTAATTTTTTGATTTGTTTACAAATTAAATTATTCATTTATTCTTATTAAGTAAAATTAATTAGAAAAAATATTTTAGTTATTAAACTCAATGTAAGTATGTATAAAATATCAAAGATATTATTTTTATTAAGTTTAATGACTAAAATATCATTTTTTAGTTGATTTTACTTAATAAAAATAGATAAATGTTTAGATTTAATCAAAAGTTTAGGATTTAAATTGACAAAATTAAAAATTTAGGTCTTATTTTCATATAAGGGTCAAATTTCGGATTTTTTTTTTTGTAATTGTCCCATTTTTTATTTTCACAAAATAAAAATTATATTAAAAAAAATCAAAAAGTTTATCCTTATTAAAAAACAATTATTATAACATGATGATATTGTAAAGCTAGCTAGGGTTAAAATCGATTTTGTCTTTCATATAAAATATATTTTTATTTTATGAAAAATATTATTTAAAGAAAAAATTGTTGAAATTGATTTTATTTTAAATTTATTTATTCAAAAATTCAAAAAAATTATATAAATGATTTATACATTTATTTTTCATATCTAACAATAAAGTTAAATAATATAAAATTTGAATACATGCATATATTATGTAATTTGTGGGTCTTGTAGGCCTTCAAGTATTATTATTCCAAGTCTTACCTTAAAATATATCTATTGTCTTATTTTATGGGCCTAAACTGTAATTTTAAATCCTAAAAATTATATGTAAGTTGGGCGAGCTTTGAGCTGATGTCCACCACTATTATAAGTTGTTTCACAATGTTGGTATTGTTTGGTTTGGTCTAAATTTTTATTTTTTTTGCTTTTCTAGTTTTATTAATTTTAATGAAAATCATATCTTAGTTAAAATAAATTATTTTTTAAATATACTTAATCTAAATGCAATTAAAAGTAAAATATTTATGAAAATTTTTAAGAAAAATTCAATAAATATATTAAAAGAAACATAAAAATGTACTAAATTTGTTTTGTTTTGTATGTTTTTTATTTAGTGAATTTTTGAAAACTTTTGATGAGAACCATTCATTTTATGAAACACAATGTGTTGATCATATTTGAAGAAAAAAAACTAATTGATTTGCTATTTTATTATATTTATTTTTAAAATGTTGAGCGGTCTATTTTAAAATCATATATTTTTCAAAGACAAATATAACAAAATTATTTGATTACAATTATCAAATCAATCTTATTTTTTTTTAAAAAAAATTATGTACATAGAATAATTAATAAATTAAACAATTCAAATCATTAAAGTTGAGCCCATGATTGGGCCAAACCCCAAAACTATACCAATCCAGTCCCATGGTCAATCACTAAAATATTATTTACACTGTGCTCCCAAAAAAAAAAATAAATAAATAAATAAATTACAAATATACTTTTGAGATTTTATTTAAAATATAGATTGCTCCTTATAGATTGAAAAATTATAAATGTCTCCCTGTCATAATTTTTTATTGAACAGAATTAATTGAAAAAATAAAATTCTTAACTGTTATTCTATACAATGATAAAATTATCTAAAATTTTAATTGAAATAAATGTCTAACATTATTAAAAACTGTTAATTGACTTAATGATTTATTAATAAAATGAACTATTTGTTATAAAATTAAAAATTTCAAGGGGCGGGATATAATTTTCAAAATTATAGAGAAAAAATCGTATTTTAGACAAAGGAATTTTTGTTGACAAATCTCATTTAGAAGTGTTCTAACCCAAGAAGTTCATGAAATAATTTTTTAACCCACTTAGTCCCTTGTATGTATATTTTTATTCCTTAAAGTCATTTTTCTTGATTTACACTATTTTCTTAGACTCTTATGTCCTTATATTTAATGTCACTAAACCCTAAACCAAAAAAACTCCATTTTCATCAAACTTTAATGTTGATATTTAACGTTCCTAAACCCTAAACCAAAAAGGCTACCTTTTCTTCAAACTTATCAAAAAAATTGCTAATCTTATAAAATGGACACATTTGCAAAAAGTTTTTTAATGGCTTCAACGCCCTGAGAATTCTCTCTCATCTGATGTAAACGTTAACAATACCTTTTTAGAAAATTCTCTCTTATCTAATGTAGTGATGTGAACATTCACATCATCTGTACATTCTAATTCACATCATGTTTGATTACCCCAAAAAATAGTGGTGTGTGGTTAATGCATTGTTGATGCTGTCATGTTTTTGTACTTTCTCTCTCATTTTATATGAACGTTCACAACGCCTTTCTGGAAAATTCTCTCTCATCTAATGTAGTGATGTGAACGTTCACAACATGTGAACATTCTTATTTTTAAGCAGTGATAATATGTTATTTTTTCCCTTTTTGTGATTGTGGTTGCTATTGGTGTTGATGGTGTTCAAAGGATATGAACCCTCTGTTTTTTGTTTTTCAAAAAATAATGAAATGGTGATTTGATATATTATTGTCTATGTGTGTAGCTAGGGTTGTGATGTAGACATTCACATCATTTGTATATTCTTATTCACATCATGTTTGATTACCTAAAAAGATAGTGGTGTGTGGTTAATGCATTGTTGATACTGTTATATTTTTGTACTTTGTAAGCTACAATGTGAACATTAACATCATTCTTATATTCAAAACAAAGATTGTTAATGTGAACCTCGACATTACCATTATGGACATTAACATTTGTATGTGGATATAATATGAAGATTACCATTGAAAAGTATGCATTCCTACTTAATATTGCCCATTTTTTTGCCCCAATGCGAACTTTCACACGTCACCATGATCATATTGATATAACATTGTGAACATTAACATTTGTATGTGGATATAATATGAAGATTACCATTGAAATGTATATATTTCTACTTAATATTGTCTATTTTTTTGCCCCAATGTAAACTTT